TGAATGAAGCATTTTCAAATTATAATTTGGAAATATATATACATATAAATATATACCATTTCATAAATGCTTTCAAAATTACAAAATAATGTCATGACTGTTATCAATGTATTTTATATTTCAGAAAGGGCTATTGTATATATGTTCACTGAATTGTTGTTTTTACATTTTCATGGACGTTCATCAGTGCTTATATACAGTATCTACTTGATTGGATATTGATTGGTGAGGGCTGGACTGACAGCTTTTATGTCTCAGATGTACTTACATAGGCGTCTTTGGGTCATTCAAAGTTAAAAATTAAGGTTGTTCAAGTGCATTTATTGATTATTAGGCAAAACAACACATGCACATGCAAGTTCAGTTTATTGAATCGATACATTAAATCCATGTGGTCTTTCATGAATCCCAAACTTGCAACATTTTCTGTTTCTTTTTACAAAGGGACTGTACTGAAGCATGCTTAGGGGCGGAGCCTGCATAAATTATTGGGTGGTTTGAGCATTACATCATTTTGACACGCAGGCTCCGCCCACTGTCCCCCACAAAGGCGGCGCTGATTGTTTAAATGGGGCGACCGAAGGCAGCTGCGCTCACATGAACACATGAATGGCTCTCATAGGGGCCCTGCATGGATTTGTCCTCCTCGAGATACCATCTGTCTTATTAGAAACACTGGATCTCACCTTGTGCTGCTTCACCCCATTCATGAGCGATAAGGCCACAACACCTTAGAACAAGAAATATATTATCTTCTGAGAGCATCTCTCTACAGTGGTAAAGTCATAACCTGGAGTGCTTCTCTGAGTGCTCGCTGCTGCTTAACCAGACGATTAGATTAAAGCTTCTCATGAGACTCACAGAAGATCACTTCAGGATCTATAACTCATGTTATTAATGGACTGAATTATAACACCGTCTTCATGCATGAACCTCAGCGCTCCAATTATGAACTGTTATTTAAATGCATTGTGTATTGTGCATTGTGTAATTGTATATTTTCACTCAGAAATGGCAAGTAAATTTCACAAATAATTACAAAGAAATGGAAAGTAACACATTAAATTAAATGTGAAATTTTAAAGTTGAAAAATTGAAATAGTATTTTCTTGTAAAACATACTCCAAAAACTCCAATATATATATATATATATATATATATGTAATGTATGCATGCTTTTTTATTCCAATTCTCAAGTTATTTATCATCAATTATGTAATAAAATATTTATTTGTAAAGATTTAATGCTTAAAGAAGGCAGTATTATACAGTAAATAACTTCATAATATATTAAAACATTGTTTACATTTATTTATTTATAAAAAAAAAATCACATTATCATAATGAACAAAATTAGCTTAATTTTCATGACAACAATTTCACAATAGGTCTTAAAGGTCCTAAAAACATTGTAGATGGTTAAAAAAAAACTCCTATGGCAGAATAGAACTGAATAGAATATATATTTATGCAGAATATATATTTTCACAGGAAAGAAAAATCACAAATAAGATTCTCTTTAATATCTCAGTTCTTCTAGACAGAAATGAGATTAAATGGAAAGCATTATTCTGCATTATTCTGACATCTCATCTTTCAGAAGAAATCTCAACAATGTCTTAAACTGTTCTCAGATCTGCCAATTCTGCAGTCAGACATCTCAATATGAACTGTATGACAATATAAATTTCTCAATGTCTTTTCAGAACAATAATCTAAGATGCTATCAACATAAAACAATCTCTATACTAACATTTATATAATTTGTGTATATTTTAATAAATAAAACACACTATTATGATTTTGTTCATATTTTGAATTAGTTGATTTTTATATTTTCTTCTTTCACTTTAATTTTAGCTAAAGTTTTAGTATTTTTGTGATTTAAAAAAAAAATGTCTATATTTTTTTAAAATTAATTTTCATTTCAGTTTTTGTTATTTTAGTACATCAAGTTAAACTAAACAAAAATGCTGAAACTAGCTAATATTTTATTTCAATTCATGTTTTTTTCCCTCAAGTAACACACGTTTTTATGGTTTTATTTTTAGTGAACTACAATAATCCTGGCTGAGATAAAAAACCTCCTTTAGGATCTTTATAAGCAATAAAAGCTAAAAGATCTATGCAATATGATGCTCATTTTGATTGTAATAATCAGTGTTGGGGAAAGTTACTTTTAAAAGTAATGCATTACAATATTGTGTTACTCCATAAAAAGTAACTAATTATGTTACTTAGTTACTTTTAATGGAAAGTAATGTGTTACGTTAATTTTGCGTTACGTTTGAAATCTGGGAAGGGCTTGCTTGTTTGTTTTTTATATAAAAAGTTCTGTTGTTGGCAAACGTAAAAGCCCTTTCACACCAAAAGGGAAATGAATAAGCCTCAGGCTGAAGGAAAAGTAAATTCATGTCTGTACAGTAGAATACAGGAGAAGGAAGTTTAACACTCTTCAGGAATACAAAAATTAAGCACAAATGTTAGTGTATCTAAAGTAATTTTTGCTTATTAGTATGGTTGAATTGGATCATCAAAGGTCAGCAGCAAAGACATTGGTTAATAAAAAAAAGATTAAATACATAAAGCTTCACACACAGCGCACACAACGGCTCTGCTCTTACTCCTGATCTCTCTCAACATGGCAACACCAGAGCTGTCAGTCAATACATGAGAAAACAAAGTAACTGGTGTTACTTATTTGAAAAAGTAACTCAGATATTTTATTTTAAATTAGAAACTAATGCATTACTAGTTACTTGGAAAAAAGTAATCTGATTACGTAACTTGTAATGCGTTACCCCCAAACACTGGTAATAATTCCAATTAATTCATTTGTCTTTGTCTGTGTTTAGTGGCTGTTCAGACAAACATCGTCCCGCCGAAGAAGGTCCAGTCTGGTGCGGTCCAGTCCAGTCTGGTTCAGGCCAGCGTAGCGGCCATGCAGAACCCGATGGCCTGTGAGGTGAAAGCAAACGGTCACTGCATTCTCCCGCGCCTCTCCATCTCGTCCCGCTCGGCCAGCGTGGTGACGGGGATGGACACGGGTGCAGACGGATCTGCTCCACACTCGGTCATGAAGTGGAAGACGGTGGTGACTGTGTTTGTGGTGGTGGTGATGTACCTGGTGTGCGGCGGTCTGGCCTTCCGCGCGCTGGAGCAACCCTTCGAGAGCAACCAGAAGGACAGCATCACGCAGGAGAAGGCCCTGTTCCTGCAGAGGAACCCCTGCATCTCTCCAGCCGAGCTCGAGGCCCTCATCAAGGTGAGATCAGACTCAGAGAGATATCAACTCATGAGAGACTAAAGTAATAAATATCAAGTGTGACTCTAGATCTCCAATAATATGTCTTAGTAAGATGAGATTGAAATGAAAGATTTGGTTTTTAAAAAGCCTTTTTCCAAAAGGTACATCTGGAAAAGGGTGGTCGTCTTATAATCAGGGTCGTCTTATATTCGGGCCAATACGGTACATTTATTCACCGAATATAGTATGGAAATTACTGTTAACCAGTTAACAGGTTTTTACTGTTGCATTTTTACAATATTTTACTGTTAAAATCACAATCATTTTTTACAGTGTAGTTTATAGGACTGAATGATTGCAGACCATGCATTTCTACTGCTCTGCTTTTTTGTTAAAAATATCCCTCTTTCTCTGGGTACAAATGTATCTTTACGATTACGAAAAGCAAGATTTGGGCGACTAACATAAAAACAGCATCACCACAGTCTGCTCGGACAGGACTTACTGATTTATTGACTAAGTTTCAGTCAGCCTAATCCATTTATAATTCTTAATTTTTAAATAATTTGAGAAGAGCCACAAAACCTGATCAATTTACTGACAGACGGAGCAGATTGATTTTCAGTGCAGGATTTTTAGACACTGAAACACAAAGCGGGTGGCTTGACATCATATCAGGCACTTAGCAATTACATCCAAGTCTAATCAGCATTCTTGTGAATTACTTTGAGAAATGTGACGTTCTTGGAGTGTCTGACATTGTGCGGGGTGACTCAGGGAAAATGGCTTTTTAAAATGATTTGCTAATATTGTTATACTTTGGTCACTTACTGTCAATTAAGCACTTCCAAAATGGCTTTATGAATCTTTCTCTCGTATGTGCATCTTTTCCCAGCATGCAGTAGATGCGGTCAGTGCTGGAGTGAGTCCCATTGGAGACACGTCCAATAACTCCAGCCACTGGGACCTCAGCAGCGCGTTCTTCTTCGCTGGAACCGTCATCACTACGATAGGTCAAATAAACCAACCATCTCAATAACACCTCTCAAATACATCACAATATGAGAAATAGTTCCAATTTTACATTATGTTAACATTATGAGAAATAGTACAATTTGTAAATGCTGTTTTATGTTGACTTTAAATGATAAAAATGGTTGCAAATGCAGTTTTACATTGATTTTAAGTTATACAATTTGTTGCAAATTATTTATGTTAACTTCAAATAATAAATGCTGTTTTACATGGACTTTAATTGGTAAAATGTGCTGCAAATGCTGTTTTACATACTTTAAATTGTAAAATTTGCATCAAATGCTGTTTTAGGTTGACTTTAAAAGATAAAATTGGTTGCAAATGCAGTTTTACATTGATTTTAAGTTATAAAATTTGTTGCAAATGATTTGTTAACTTCAAATGATAAATGCTGTTTTACACTGACATCAAATACTGTAGTACAATTAGTTGCAAATGCTGTTTTACATGGACTTTAATTGGTCAAATTAGTTGCAAATGCTGTTTTACATGGACTTTAATTGGTAAAATTAGTTGCAAATGCTGTTTTACATGGACTTTAATTGGTAAAATTAGTTGCAAATGCTGTTTTACATGGACTTTAATTGGTAAAATTAGTTGCAAATGCTGTTTTACATGGACTTTAATTGGTAAAATTAGTTGCAAATGCTGTTTTACATGGACTTTAATTGGTAAAATTAGTTGCAAATGCTGTTTTACATTGACTTTAATTGGTAAAATTAGTTGCAAATGCTGTTTTACATTGATTTTAAGTTATAAAATTTGTTGCAAATGATTTGTTAACTTCAAATGATAAATGCTGTTTTACATTGACATCAAATACTGTAGTACAATTAGTTGCAAAAGCTGTTTTACATGGACTTTAAATGGTAAATGCTGTTTTCCGTTGACTTTTAATGGTAATTTTCTTTGCTGTTCTCAGAAAAATAAACTCCTGACAAAATTTTGTTTTCTAGTTCACACATTGCAATTCATTTTTTTCATGTTTTACTTTCAACAAGATTTGCACTGACCTTCAAGAGTATTACTGCAGAACTTTCAGCTCAGATCTCCTCTCTGACTGAAATGGTTTAGTCTGTCCTTGTCTTAACTTCCCTTTTGTTCAGCAGTCTGTAATTACTGCCATGTTCTCTCGGTGGAAGCCACCAATTGTCTCCCTCTGGATCTATGAATGTGGTTTTAATAGAGGGGGTCAACTAGAGCGGTTTGTTTTATAACGATTAAATAAGCTCTTGTCTTCTCCACCCACATCTACAGGCTATGGAAACATCGCCCCCAGGACTGAGGGCGGCAAGATTTTCTGCATCCTTTACGCCATATTTGGCATCCCACTGTTTGGCTTCCTCCTGGCCGGGATCGGTGATCAGCTAGGGACCGTGTTTATGAAGAGCATCCTGAAGGTGGAGAAAGTTTTCAGGGTGAGTGGACTTACTTAAAGAATACTCTACTAAGGATAATTCATTAATAATTGATTATGTAAATACATTAATTCACATGCATCTGCTGCCCTTTACAGCAAAAACACAAGCAAATCAGTCAGACCAAAATCCGTGTCACCTCCACCATACTCTTCATCATCGCTGGCTGCATCATTTTTGTCACCATCCCAGCAGTGATTTTCAAACACAGTGAGGGATGGAGTACTTTAGAAGCCATTTACTTTGTTGTCATTACTCTCACAACCGTCGGCATTGGAGATTATGTAGCAGGTAGGTAGTCTGATGAAGGCATTTTACATAATTTTGCCTAATAAGGTCAAGAGTTGCTTAATTTTGATAGCAAATTCTGTTTTTTAGACTTTAAATGGTGAATTTTGTTGCAAATGCTGTTTTCTGTTGACTTTAAATTGTAAAATTTGCTGCAAATGCTGTTTTACCTTGACTTTAAATGGTAAAGTTTGCTGCAAATGCTGTTTTACATTGACCTTAAATGGTGAAATTTGCTGCAAATGCTGTTTACGGTTGACTTTAAATAGTAAATACTGTTTTATGTTGACTTTAAAGTGGTAAATGCTATTTTATGTTGAATTTAAAGTGTTAAATGCTGCTTTATGTTGAATTTAAAGTGGTAAATCCTGTTTTATATTTACTTTAAATGGTAAAATTAAACAAATGCAGTTTTATGTTGGCTTTAAATGGTAAAATGAGTTGCATGTGCCGTTTTATTCTTGATTTTAAATGGTAAAATCCGTTGCAAATGCTGTTTAACTTTATATGGTAAAATCTGGTAAAATTAGTTGCAAAATATTTTTTTTACCTTGATTTTAAATGACAAAATTAGCTGCAAATGCTGTTTTACGTTGATTTTAAATGATTAAATTAGTTGCAAATGCTGTTTTCTGTTGACTTTAAATTGTAAAATTTGCTGCAAATGCTGTTTTACCTTGACTTTAAATGGTAAAATTAGCTGCAAATGCTGTTTTACATTGACCTTAAATGGTAAAGTTTGCTGCAAATGCTGTTTTACGTTGACTTTAAATGGTAAAATTTGCTGCAAATGTTGTTTTACCTTTACTTTAAATGGTAAAATTAGCTGCATATGCTGTTTTACATTGATTTTAAATGGTTAAATTTGCTGCAAATGTTGTTTTATCTTGACTTTAAATGGTAAAGTTTGCTGCAAATGCTGTTTTACATTGACCTTAAATGGTGAAATTTGCTGCAAATGTTGTTTACGTTGACTTTAAATAGTAAATACTGTTTTATGTTGACTTTAAAGTGGTAAATGCTATTTTATGTTGAATTTAAAGTGTTAAATGCTGCTTTATGTTGAATTTAAAGTGGTAAATCCTGTTTTATATTTACTTTAAATGGTAAAATTAAACAAATGCTGTTTTATGTTGGCTTAAAGTAGTCAAATTTGCTGGACATGCTGTTTTACGTGGATGTCAAATGGTAAATTTTAGTTTAGTTTAAATTATAGTTAAGATCATTCCATTCAATTGGAATGTTTGTTTTGGACCACATTTTTTGGCCTTCTTATTCTGTTTATATAGTGTATTAAAATTGAAAAGTTTTTTTTATAGGTGGTGATCGAAAAATAGAATACATGAAATGGTACAAGCCTCTGGTCTGGTTCTGGATTTTGGTGGGTCTGGCATATTTCGCTGCGGTCCTGAGCATGATTGGAGACTGGTTCAGGGTTCTGTCCAAGAAAACAAAAGAAGAGGTATGATATGTCAGACATGATCTCCAATATACAACACAGCATTATTTCACTGCATCAGAGCCCTATTTTCTTTGCATAGACATTCCAGGCTCTTCCTTTTCAGCTGATGATAACTAGGGTGTGTAGACTATTGGTTAATGCTAATCAGTAAGCAAGTAGTCATTGATTTGGCTGCTGTTGGTAATGTAGCCTTTCTTGTCAACAGTTAACAGAGTTATTTTATGGTAGTTAATATTAATATAATAGCTGGTCACAAAAATAATATCAAATAATGCTATATCTGATAAAGAAGTGTCACCACTGGGATACTTAAAGATGCTGTGGAGGGAGAGCTTGACCTTCAACTTCCATTCAGATTCGGCTCCATTCTGATATGAAACACTTTACGCCATCTTTATCGTGATAAAATCAGCTCAGTTGCTGTTAAAAAGAAAAACAATTTCACCGTGAAATACATCATATTATGAAAAATAGTTAATAGTTATTAAATGGTAACATTTTTTACAAATGCCATTACGTTGACTGTAAATGTTAAAATAAGTTGGTCAAATTAGTTGCAAATGCAGTTTTGTGGTGGCTTTAAATGGTAAAATTTGTAGCAATTCTGTTTACTTCAATTTTAAATGGTAACATTTGTTACAAATGCAGTTTTACATTGACTTTAAATAGTGAAATTAGCTGCAAACTCAGTTTTACTTTGGCTTAAAATACTGAAATTAGCTGCAAATGCAGATGTTAAATAGTACAATTATTTGAAAGTAATGTTTTATGTTGACTTTAGTAAAATCAGTTGCAAATGATGTTTTACTTTATCTATCTAACACAGGTCGGGGAGTTTAAGGCCCATGCGGCAGAATGGAAGGCAAATGTTCGGGCAGAGTTACGCGAGACACGGCGGCGCCTCAGCGGTGAGATCCATGACAAACTTCAGCGGGCGGCCACCATCCGCAGCATGGAGCGCAGACGTCTGGGTCTGGAGCAGAGGGCACATTCGCTGGACATGCTGTCGCCTGAAAAACGGGCCGTCTTCGCTAGTCTGGACGCCGGGCGCTTTAAGACCTCATCGCAGGAGAGCATCGACACTAAACTGAACAACCTGCGACTGAAGGCCGAGCGCGGTGAACAGCAGGCGTCCTCCGATGAAAACATCTTCAACCGCTTCGGCTCGCTCACAAAACTGGCCAAGCGCAACAAGAGCAAAGATCTCCGCAGGAACATCCCAGAAGATGCCAGCAGGCTGGGCGATGTCCTCAGCAGTAACAGCAGCAACGTCACACTGGGAGAGGAGAGAAGAGAGGACGAGGAGGAGATTGAGGAAGAGAAAACAACAATGGAGGCCAACACTGGCTTCACGTGTCTGCCTCACTATCCTGAGGAACCCAAACAGCAGAATTGTTTCGCACCGGCTCAGGCCAAAGAACAAGAGCGAAATAAAAGACTAGAGCAGAAAGAACATCAACCGTAGGCAGACAATGACAGGGTGAAAATGTGCCTTTGTGTTTTGTAGGCTGCGGCTCGACTCGTTACGATCATCTGCAGTTGATTTTCACTGTGACAAATGATAAGTTGCCAAAAATGAGAAAAGACACGGAGAGCTCAAGGAATACAGACTGACATCACCTTAAAGAGACAGTTCACCAAAAACCTGGAAATTCTGTCATTGTTTACTCACCCTCATGTTGTTCCAAACCTGAATGAATTTCTTTCTTCAGTGGAAATCTCCAAAAATGACAAAAAAACACCATAAAAGTACTGTAACAATAGACTATGACTAATGATGCTTTGTGTGAGGAACTGAAATTGAAGTTATTTATTGAAAACGTATCAAATTTCAAAAACGCTCAATCATTGAACAATCACTGATGTTGAATTAGGTGCTATGTTATTTCGTGTGAATGAGATTGACAGAGCTGTGATGGAAGTGAAGGTTTCAGTGAATAACAAGTTTTTAAGAACTTACTATTAATCAATTCATATTATTATTAATATGTAAAAGACCTTCTGCAATACATCTGCTTTAGTCAGTTCCACACAAAAAGCAACTGAAACGGGTTTGAAGTGACATGAGCTCACGTAAAAGTCAAAATTTTGTCTTTTTTAGATGAACTAAAATGTATTATTTATGTTCTTTACAACTTCAAGACTGATTATTCATCATAGAACAGTCAACAGAGACTTTTTGAAGGACTTTTGCTCTTTTCAACGGTGTGCTACAGATCGCCGAAAGCCTTTTTTGCTGTAAATCGTGATGTCTTTTGGAAAGCAAACCTGCATGAATATCTACTGCTGCTCAGATGAGTCCGTCATCTATGATGGCAAATCACAAACTTCTATGAAACACTAATTTATTCAGTTTGGTTGAAAAATTGACACATTCTCGATAACCTTTTGATTGTGATGCCAGAGTTTAAACAACAATGACTTTATAGCTGGTGGTGAAATGCTGCATTCACACTGAACTTCTATAAACATATCAAATCCCTGAAAATGACTGGAATCAAAGCCACATTGATGATACTCAATAAAAGTGAAACCCATTTTACTAGAAGTATTAGAACGATGAACAAATGGCATCTTTATGAGGTATACAGCGAACCCAAAAAGTATCTGGACTCTTAAATCACACATAAGAATGTGAGAATTATCATTGCATAACATATCACAGCAAGAGATAGGAAGATTTAAAGGAAGATGCAAACTTTACAAAACATATTCCAAAAACTTTGTACCATTTTGAATGATTAAACAATACATCTAGTCTTGAAAATGAAAACAGTACTGATTAAGACAAAAAAGAAGAAAAGTGACATTATTACTTAATTAAAGTGACATTGTTGAATTAAAAACAATGTGAAATACATCACATGAAAAATAGTTTATAAATGGTCAAATGTATGGCAAATGTTGTTTTACTTTAAATGGTAAAATGTGTAGCAGTTTACTTTGAGTTTAAATAAAAAATAGTTGCGAACACTGTTTTACATTGACTTTAATTGGTAAAATTAGTTGCATAAGAACTTTTAATTTGTCTTGAAGTGGTCAAATTAGATGCAAATCATGTTTTATATTGGCTTTAAATGGTACGTTTTTAGTAATTATGGTATTATTTGATTTTAAATAGTAAAATTAGTTGCAAACACCGTTTTACATTGGCTTTAAAATTAGTTTCAAATGCTATTTAACTTTTTGAGAGATATTTTCAAATACTTTTCGGGGTTGCTGTATCCACAGTTATTCCATTATTGCCATAAAACAGTCTGATTTGTTAAGTTATCACCTGATATCAGTTCACATCTGAACCTTTTTTATGCCCTCAGAACAAAGTCTTCCACTGTAATTCAAAAATACGGTAAAAAGTGTGAATGCATAAATAAAACATTGACTTTTTTGATCCACAACAGTGAATGCAAATGCATAACACACAAAATGTACATTTTTAGCTAAGACAGCATGCAATAATGGTGTTGATCGTGTAATGCTGATGTAAACGTCACAGTGATGTGAGCTGGAGTGAACAGCGTTCATGTTACATCTCGAAAACATTACGGTAACTGCAGTCATGCTCTGTGTTGTCATGGTGATCACATTAACGGTTGTGCAAACGTTACATCAAATGTAATGAGTGCCTTTGGGAAAATAAATCATGAAATGTGGCTTTGGCTTTGTTGCACTTATACTGATTTTTTTAATTCAAGTTGGAAAGTCAGGCAGAAAACCTGGAAACGTGTCCAAAAATGCAAATAAAACACATCAGTGAATCACAGTTCCTACATTACATCACATACATTGCGTTTATGTGCTTGTGTAGAGTATGTTTCCGGGCTTTAACTTCTCATAAGAGGTCTGATTTGCTCAGATTGCCACATTAGTCATTGTTTCCAGCAGCACATTAGATCTACGCCTGACATTATGTGCTCTGACACACTCCGAGAGCACAAACTCATTATTTTGAGAGTTTTCTCACCCTGTAGTTGAGTTTCCCAACTAAGGGTTCATTAAAATGATCACATAGGGTTCATGCAAATATGAGAGAACTGGTGAAGTCAGGTTCAATTACATAAATGGTACTATAGAAAAAAAAAAAAAAAAAAAAATGAAAGTATGTATAATGTAGGCATACATTTTAAATGTATGTATTTGAATTGCATATAAAACCTTCATCTATTTGGATTACACTGTTTTAATATTTAACTTAATACAATGCATATTTGTTAAAAGATTTCATAGTTTATTAACTTTTTGAATCTATTTGATTTGATTTAAATTAATACATTTTTAAAATGCATTTATTCAAATTGCTTAGAATCAGCATGAATCTGTTCATTGTGAAAAGTTACATTTATTCAGTTTAAAAACATGCTTAAAATGACCAGCTGTGGAACAAGCAATATTCAGTTAGTTCAAGTATATGAGAGTGAAACAAATTGGATTTGATGATAAATAGATACAAACCAGGTTATTGTGTATATAAAACAGTCAGTTTATTAGTACTGTTACTGAAATCTGACCAGTTTCGTTTATGTATGACAAATAAGCATCACATTAAGTTCAATACAATTCAATTCACGTTTATTTGTATAGCGCTTTTCACAATACAAATCATTACAAAGCAGCTTTATAGAAAATGTAAGTTTCTACATTTTAGGAGTAGCTTATTAATTTATGTTTAAATTGTGAATTTGATCTTTATTTTAGATCTAAACATGACTTGGTCTTATACAAAAATGAGTCAGTAATGTCAAATCAAGCCTAATTATTAAAGGGGTCATATGATGTTGCTAAAAAGAACATTATTTTGTGTATTTGGTGTAATGAAATGTGTTTATGCGGTTTAAGGTTAAAAAAACACATTATTTTCCACATACTGTACATTATTGTTTCTCTTCTATGCCCCGCCTTTCTGAAACGCGTCGATTTTTACAAAGCTCATCGGTCTGAAAAAGCGAGGTGTGCTCTGATTGGCCAGCTATTCAGTGCGTTGTGATTGGCCGAATTCCTCAAGCGTGTGACGGAAATGTTACGTTCCTTACCACATGTGACGACCCCGGGCTGGACTCTACTTTGTCCACGGTGAAAGCCGATCCGGCGGTCCACAGCTCACAACAAAGCACACAGCGCCTTCACGACATGGCGGCGGCGGCAACAACAATACTACAGCGAGAATAAAAGTTACGCCTTCTTTCTTTGCGTGAACATTTGGGCGGCGTTATGCAAATCTTCCCACATCGTGACGTAGATATGTGGGGTCGTGTTAGAACGACCCTTTTTAGGTAGTAATGGTTGACTCTTAACTTTTATAAAGAATATCTCTTTGGATTTGAGACTTTAGTCTTTGCAACTTTACAGATCTTCTTTATGCACCAAGAGCTTGTAACACTCCAAAGAGAAAGGAAAAATTTAAATCGCATGATATGACCCCATGCTCTTCTTTTAAAAATTAGTATTAAACTTAGCTGTTAATTAGTGCTGCAAATAGGAATAACATTTCAAATCATGCAAAACAGCCTCTTGTTGAAGTGAAGTGTGGTTGGTTTTCATCTGCTGGACGATAAAAGTTGAAAAAAAAAATCCCACACTTGACTTGATTGAAGAAGGGACACAAGTCATTTCTAGGGACCAAAATAAATCATCTCTTGAGATTGGGTTCTTAATTTGGTCCACAATGCAACCACCTAGCAACTGCATAGCAATAAGCTCTCAGAACAACTTAGCAACTAATCAGCAACACTCAGGCAACCACAATAACATTAGCAGTGAGATTTGCATGGGCCATTAGTCAAAAAATCACTACAAATTATAGTAAAAATAATTGGTATTTTTTTTTAACAGTTGGGGGCACTTGCAAATATATCATTTAGGGTTGGGAATGTCAAATGTTGTCAGTGGTAAAGTTAAAGATGGAAAATTACACGGAATATTGAGTTTGTTCCACTAGTACAACCTGCATGGCTGGAACATTTTCACAGCATTTACCGATCAAATTAATGCAGTGTGGCAAACAAGATGCATCAAACCTGTGAATACACAGCGTCAGGTGAGAAGAAACGGTGAGAGAGGCAGGAAATTGGTCTTTTTAGGGAATACTGATCATCTTCTGTGATCATCAGGTGAGACGCATTTCTGCACCAACAAAGATGGTGATATATGATGTTTGCTTCTCTGCATTTCAGTAAATTCGAGATGCATTCAACACCGAGTTGCTTACTTGAGGTCATGCATGTGTGGTTTTCTCATGCTTTATTGGAAAAATGAATCATGTCAGCAGTATCGGGGAACAGTCATCAACTGTGTAATGAAAGCAGAAGGTAAATGTGTCCAAGGTTGAAGTAACCTCCACTTATCTCTGTCTGTAACTGATTAATAGTGATGGATGGTTCACACGTGTCTCACAGCATCACCTTTAATCATGTCACAGTTGACTTTTCATTCAGTCATTTATGTTCTTGCTCAGGCGGTCAGGATGATAAATATGGTGTCATATACAGGACAGCCTTGGCCTCATATGGTGGTAATATGTAATAATGCTCAAGTTTGGAGCATTAAGAGGTCAAATTGTACATACAAGTCCCTCTTTATCTTCATCATTTGCTGCATATCGTTGGTAGATCATACTAATCTGACAGGAAATCCCGATGTATTCTATGCAAGAACATGAATGCAAATGTTTC